GGGCACAGTGGGCAGTCAGGGCTGCCATGGCTTGAGACAGCCAGGGGGGTGACAATTGGTCACAAAGGGGGTGGCAGGGGTTGTCCCTCCGGGGTTTTACCCCCAGCACCCCCTCCCTGGTGCAGCTCGTCCTGCAGGATCCCCCTGCACCTCCCCAGCACCACGCCTGGCTCCCTCCTCGCTGTTACTCACACCTCGCACCCACCACAGCACTTAAACACCAGAGACATATGGAAATGAGTGGCACCAGCAAGAGTATTAATTAAAAAACCATCTGTTGAGCCAAGGAGAGCTTTCCCCACCCCCTGCCAGCTTAGGGCTGGGCCAGAGCTCAGGGCAGGATCCAGGCAGAGATTGGGGAGGGCACGAGGAGCAATCCATGGAGCCAAGCTCCTCATGGAGGTCTTAAGTCATCTTGTTCTGGAGCAAAAGGCACGTGGGGCTCACCCGGTTCTCTCTGTACCCAGCTGCCTCCCAGCCCTGGGGCACTCCCTGTGTGCAGGTGCCAGCTCAGGCCTGCTCTGAGCAGTGCCACAGCCTTTCCTCCCTGCAGGGAATGGCCTGGGAACGAAATCCCTAAAGTCCTTACCCCTAAACCCCTTTCTGCTCAGCTGGGGCCAAGCTGGTGGCCATGAAGCACCCAGCAGCTGTAGGGAGTCATTTCAAGGTGGGAGGAAGCAGGGATGGAGCCCAGTGCCATGGGGACCTTCACATCCCTCTAATCCCCAGCTGGGACCTTCCTAAAGTGGCCTTGTCCACAGCTGTGTCCCCACCCAGGACAGTGGCAGGGGGAGCCTGTCCTGGTTCTGTCATCTGTGTTCAGGGCTGCAGGGACAGAGCGGGCAGCAGAACCTCTTTGCATGACAGGAAAACCTGTGGGATTCCCTGTAAATATATTTTTAATGACCCGTGGCTGGTCCTCCAGCACCCTCAGCAGTGCCATCACTTGTGCTCCAGACCACCCTCTCCTTCCCTGGGGAATAAAACTGCTTCCATCGAGGAGCCAGAGATGTCCCCAAGGGGCACAGAGCTGCTCCTGGCTGCAGCCACATCTCCCCCTTTGTGGCCCCAAGCTGCTGCGAGGAGAAGCCCCTGCAGGGAGGGGCTCTCAGGGCAGGACCACAGAGCCCCTGGCAGGAGCAGCAGCAGCAGCCATGCAGCAGCCTGTAGGGAAGGTTTTCCACCTGGGAGATGAGACCTTTGCCCTCTCTGCACCCCCAGGGAGGCTGCAGGGCAGCTTGGTTCCTCA